TATCAAATAGTGTATCTACGGGATGACACGTTTAGGAATCACCTATGTAAGTGTGAAGTGTTACCCGCTTCAAGGAGAATTTTGCAAGGCCAATTCTCTACGCACTTATGCAACCAGGCAGTGTTCATGGCTAAAACGAACACAACAATGAGAACCAAAGACGATTAAGGGATTGATTGTGTGACTCATGGTTGTCTAGGTATACACTAAAGTTCGACGGTTCAAAGATATCAAATCTACCGATTGACCGAGTATATCCGACATAAGTTCACTACGGAAAGTTCAAAGGGAAACCTACTTATCCAGATGCAATTAATTTTTGCTTGCAAATCACACAAGTTTTTCATGCATACTTTCGTGATATAGCCATTCCCCATTTATGTGGGGGATTGCTGAGTTTTGGATTGTTGAGTTTTTGTTTAAGATGAAATAGTCTTAAAATGAGAGTGAATGGAAAATGGGATTTGGATTTGGATTTGGATTCGGATTTGATCAAATGATCGATCGATTGATTAATTATTTGGACCAAATTTATTTGTTAATAGTGAATATTAACGTGATATAATCCGTGTTTGTAACGGATGTTTTCCAATCCGTGTATTGTGTTGCACCAAGAAAGCAACAAGATGCCTAGTGCACCTCCCACCATGGCCAAGTGCTCCTCCCACCAAGCAAGTGTTCATTCCACCATGTAAGTGCTTTCTCCATGATATCCTAATGCTTGTTTCACCATGGAGGGGGCGGATTTCTCTCACATAACTGCTATAAATAGAGCAGAAGTTGTAGAGAAAGAAGAACACACCGGAAAAAAATACTCAAAACACTCAGTATACAATTGATATACACTATGTATACACTCAAACTACACTCTGTATACACTGTGTATACACTGGAAAAACGAATTGCAATCTGATATCTTCTTCAGTAAGAATTCAACATCGGCTATACATTGCATTCCTTCCTCTCAGAATTTCCATTCGACTTCTGAGTTCTCCTCCTTTGTTCTGCATTGTTTTAAAACTACAAACAAAGCAACTGTAAGTGTGATTTGCTGCCACGTTCGCTGAAATACTGGAGTTTAAAGTACCGCTACACCAGTGTGTAATTCGTTCTATCCTGGGAGGAAATAATCCATAACCTTGGGTACTAGGAGGGGATTAAATTCCTTAAGGAAACACTGTGAATTCAGTGGGCTCGAATTAATTTTTGTTTCAGTTATATCATTTATATTTACGTATGTTACTGTTGTAGGTAGCTGATAAAGAGATAATATATATCTAAGAGTAGAAAAGTTAAAACTTGATCTTCCATCATTCCATATTTATATCAGATAAGAAGTACTATACAGGAAACAACAACAACATTAAGTTAGGTCAAGACACTATCATTATAAAAAAAAATTGTTGAACGTATTTTAAATAAAACTTAAAAAAATATAAAGTATATATCAAACGGGACAATATGTAAAGACCAAAAGCACTTTGTAACCAATAACCATTATAGGTGCTCATTGCAGTTATATATTACCATGCAACTGGTACAAGGAAAATCTAATTACTGCCGGGAAATTACAAGATAACTAATTTAGGAACGCGAACATCCACTTTGTCAATTTCCTTTTTTTCTGACACCGCCTCTTTATTTTGTCTCCATATTCTCCAAGTTGAAACCTTAACTCAACCGCTTTAATCTTCATATATATACATATATAGTTCATAGTTGTAAAGTGTAACCCAACTGGCTCTAAAGCTTTGTTCTTTCTATTCTCCAATATTGAACTGAAGGTAATCTTACGGACACATAAAAGCACACAATATTAATATTTATCACTGAATGCAAACGCATGAATCATGAATGAATGAGTGGCGTGTAATGTTTGAGAGATCGAGTTTATATTTTATTATCTCATTAATATCACTGATTTGCTAACACTTATTGCTAAAATGATGTTTGGTTAATGTGTATTATATATCTCTTCTTTCTTCAATTTTCTTAATGCTTTTATATAAATATCAAAGCGAGGATCCTTGTCATGTTATTATTGGTTAGGAGATTCAGAACCTCTAGGGATTGTTCACTGATTCTTTATGTTGTGTTCCACTTATAGACAAACCTAAATTTTACTGACTTAGTTTGAAGTATAAAAGAGAAAGGAGAATATTTATGCATGTTCTTAATTGTGGGAGTTGTTTAAGAGAATGAGCTAATACTTTATAGGTGTATGAAATATGGAATTCTTTCATATTTCTGTTAGTCTTAGATCATAATTTATATATGGGTACTATTACCTTTGATTTTTTCAACAGCCAATGTATATCAGCCTCATTTGAACTCTAATTAACATGACCAGCTTAATGCATAAACCGACAATCTTAATAAATAGATGATGGTAATTAACTCATACAGAAATAGCAAAATATGTTCTTCTAGCTTCAGCACAAAGTGATGGCTAATGTAATCAATGTGGAACATTAAAAGGTCACTGAATTCTGTTTTGCATAATTTACATTATTTCACAAACTTCATTTTCTAGGTACTGCTGCAGCAGAACTTGATTGCATAGCTATCTCCTAGTTCCTATTGCTGTAAGTTTACTTCTTTTTCCCTTATACTTCTCTCAGTTAGAATCTCATGCGCTTTGTTTGAACCTCTTTTTACATTTTATCTTGAATTATTACTGCTTAGCTATGTTGCTCGAACTCTCTGATAATGTGGCAGGATACGTGTTGGATCCTCCAAAAGTAGTGCATTTTTGAAGGATCCGATACGGCTGCGGCTACATGTTGGACTACATGTTGGAGAGTCCGCGCAACATAGCTGCTTTAGGAGAACAATAATAAAGGAAGCTCAGTGATAGTTAAGAGTTTTGTAATACAGGTTCTTACATATACGGTCTTGGCTTGTAATTACAGAGAGAACTGAACTCTGCTGATTTTTAAGAAGAATGAAGTTTGGTAAAGAATTTAAGGATCAAATGGTGCCTGAGTGGATTGCAGCTTATATGGATTATAGCGAGCTCAAATGCCTCTTGAAAGAGATCAACCGCCTCAATCTTAGTTTTCTACCTCACCGCAATACTCAGAGGAAAGTTGATATTGAGAACCAAGAAAGTGAAAGCCAACACAAAGATTTGACAAATGGAAAGTTCTGTATAGCAGCAGAACTAAGAGAAGATGAGAAATCGTTTTTCGAAAAATTGGATAATGAGCTTGAAAAGGTTAATAGCTTTTACAAAGACAAAGTGGAAGAAGCAAAGGGAGAAATAGCTGCATTGGCCGAACAAATGGATGCTTTGGTTGCTCTCCGTAGAAAGGTGAAAGAATCAGATAGTGTAGCATCCTCAAAGGCGACTTCTCCAAGCAGGACTTCAAGTGTAGGTAGGTCTGCCACTATCATTTTATCAGTCGTTACTTGCCTTCATGATCATGAATTATGGTGAATACAAACAGAAACGAGAGCCTTAATAGGAAATTGTACCATAGTCTTATTGAACAAATGCATCGTTCTTGATTCGTAGATTATGTACTAGGATTAATTAGACACGATAATAAGGACAGATTAACATTGTATATTCGATTGCTATGTATTAGGGAACCTAAGAACATGAGCAAGTAGCTCAAATATTGAAAGCCTATGCACCACTTGTTTTGAACCATATTGCAGCAGAAACCCACAAGATGTACACAATTTATGTACCTTCTTTTTTGTACATCTTTTGCAATTGTTTATGCCCATAATTGCAGTGTCTTGACTAACTTAGCCTCCACTGAATAATATTTAGAATCTCGTAATTTCATATTTTCACTGAGATGGTGCAGAGTGTTGCAAAGATCGACACAGAATGTTTCTAGAAGTATTTTTGGCAACAACAATCAGCATATGCAAACACAAATATTGCTGATAAAAGCCTTCCTTCTTGTAGTGGCAGCGAAACAGTTGTGGACATTCTAATTCCATGCTTCTACTTCATAAGATTAGTTTTGCGCTCATTAGATGTCTAAATGCAGAGAAAGCCCAAATGGACTTCACAAAAGAAGTGGACATGTCTTGTGAGAACAACATAAAACCAGCTTCTTCGAACAATAATGAAGATCCTTCATTAAAAGAACATGGACGAACTCCCTCAGACGTTCTTGAATGTGTCAAAATTCAAAATACATCTGATGGTCCAAAATCATCTGTAGAAAAACTATTACTTGGTACCACAGAGAAAGAGTGTAGCTTCAGTCAAGAGGAACTAGAGGTTGAAGAAAAGTTGAAAAAGGCCTTTGTTGAGTTCTATCAGAAACTTCGCAGCCTAAATCAGTACAGGTTCTAAATCTAAGATACATTTTGGATTCTCTTCTGCATTTATTCTGACTCTTTTTTCAATTGATGAAACAGTTTTATGAATCTCTCAGCATTTTCTAAGATCCTAGAAAAATATGAAAAGGTCAGACACTCATCAGGTGCATATATAGCTTTCTGAATAAAACTTCAATCCCGGAGTAGGTTTAGAAAGTTGCATTCTGTGGACAATCATGGTAATAATAGTAGTATTATTTTAGTTACCACTAAATGACCATAAATTGCATCACTGGTTGACTGCAGATTACTTCAAGAAAAGCAATGAGATCTTACATGAAAGTCGTTGATAACTCCTATATTGGAAGTTCTGATGAGGTCTGTTTCATCACTAAATCAAGATATTTGGATTTATTTTCCATTAGCTCTTCAGTATTTAGGTAAAAGAAGTCTAGTTATATGCACCAATAAAGAATCACTTAGTTTACTTTTTCATGTTCTAGGTTACTAGTCTTCTGAACAAGGTGGAAGCAACATTTATCAAGCACTTTTCCAATTTTAAGCAGGGGGATGGCATCAAATTATTAAGGCCAAAAAGGAAAAGAGAGAACCACCGCGTACGATTTCTTTCAGGTTGAGAACTGCTCCTTTTTTTTTTTTTCAATTTATGATTTTCTGCATTTAGGTTCTATTATAACCTTTGTGCTCATTGTGTAGGATTCTTCTGTGGATTCTCAATTGCTCTAATTATTGCCGTTGCTTTAGTCATGCAAACAAGAAAGTTACTGGACAAGAAGGATGCCACCTTATACTTGGATAGCATTTTTCCCCTTTACAAGTTAAAGAAAACTTTCAGATTGTCAGTTAAAATGAAAATTCATATACTTATGACCTTCTCAATTTTCTCTAACATATATATACCTTATGTTTTGTTTGCAGTTTCTACGGTTACATTATCTTACATATGCTTCTTTTTGCTGTGAATATATACTTGTGGAGGTGCTATAAAATCAACTACTCGTTTATTATACTTGGGTTCAAGCCAGGAACCGAATTAGACCACAGAGAAGTTTTCGTTTTAGCCTCTGGTCTTACAGTTGTTGTACTCACTACTTTTCTGGTACATCTGCATATCAGGATGGACTCGACGATCCAAGATCACGAGACATATGTTGAACTCCTTCCTTTGGGCTTACTCATTGTGAGATTTTAGATATAAGTTAAATGCCAGTTGAGCACTATCATATAAGTACATTTTATCCAATCACCATTCTCTTATTCAAATGCAGGGTTTAGTTCTCATATGTCTGTGTCCTTTTAACATAATCTATCGTTCAAGCCGTTTCTTCCTTATTCGAAGTCTATTCCATTGTATTTGTGCTCCTTTCTACAAGGTGATTGATTCTACTAGGCTTGAATTCTATATATGTTGGACAACATCTTATGTCGATATTCTTAATCTGCAGGTCAAAATGGTTGATTTTTTCTTGGCAGATCAGCTAACAAGCCAGGTTTCTTACTTAATTGGGCCATCAATAGGTGATATGGATCTTGTTTTTCTTTATTTTTGGATTTCTGACCTTTTCTCTACATCTGCTTGACCTCAGACACAAGCCATAAGAAGTTTTGTATACTACATTTGTTATTATGGTTGGGGAAAAGCATTGTCTCCAGGACGAAAAATGTGCCACGTTAGTGATGTCTACGTTATCTTCTATTACATTTCAGCTGCCATACCTTTTTGGATTCGCTTCCTCCAGGTACTTAACACTTCGCCAAAATTAACTTGTACACTGGCCTATATATCTGCATGTACTCAGTGGACCAAATTAATGTACAGTGTATGCGACGATTAATTGAAGAGAAAGACATGAAGCATGGATTTAACGGTTTCACCTATTTCTCAATGCTTCTGTCAGTTGTCTTTCAGTCAACATTCAGACTACGGAAAAAAATGACTTGGAAAGTATGGGCTTTGGCTAGCTCGGTTGTTGCAGCTCTGGCAAACATATGTTGGGATATCAGGATGGACTGGGGTCTTCTTCAAAGAAATTCAAGAAATTTTCTTCTGAGAGACAAGCTCTTACTTCCACATAAAAGTGCATATTATATAGCTATGGTAAAGTTTCTAAGTCGATGAAACTCAAAGACCCCCGTCTCTCTCTCTCTCTCTCTTTGTCATCTAAGTAATATTTTTGTTTTTGCACATTTGATGGTAGATTCTTGAGGTTCTCCTGAGATTTGTATGGCTGCAACTAGTATTGAGTTTTGACATGCGCCCACTACGCGGAAAAGCCACAACAAGCACATTTGCCTGCTTGGAGATTCTTCGTCGTGGCATTTGGAATGTCTTTAGGTAAGTTTATTGTCCCTGAGCTGATATTAGGAGTTCAAGGTTATACCTTGTCCTCCTTTTCACAACTTGTTACTTATAACAGAGGAAAGAAAATGGATACATTTTTAAGTTACTTGTGTCTCAGATTGGAGAATGAGCACCTAAACAATGTTGGTGAGTACCGAGCATTCAAGTCACTCCCACTGCCCTTCATTACATACGACGAGAAGGTTGGCAAACACGAGTAGAATGACACTTTCACTCTTCTTAAAATATGTTCTGTTTCATATGAGTAGATTGTGTAATAGATCATCCTTTTCTATTAGGGTGGCAATGCATACATTTTCGGAAGAATTACAGTCCTTGTCACTTAGCCTAACAGCCCAACTGAAAACGGCCCACGTTTGAAGTCCTTACCTAGTTTGGCCCAGGTTGTACGTAATCTAAAAGAAAATTTTCAGCCTTTAGCCACTATTAGAGACACACTTTTAGGGTTTATTTATTTTCGTTTTTCTTCATTCCCAGCACACTCTATACTTTCCACCGCCTCTCTTTACTTTCTCCTTTCTTTCTCTTCTCTCACTCACATAGATCTGAATATTAATAGGTGTCTCTACTGAGTTGCTTAATCTTCCTAAATTTTTATAGATCTCAAATATTTGAATCTCGATTTATAGGTGTCCAAATTAAAAATTAAAGTTTTGTTGCATCCGTATGAAAAACTCCATTAAAAGGAGCTTTGAAGCTCTAAGTTCAACTCAGATTTGGAAAATCTTACTCTAACGTGATAGGGTTAAGTTAAAAATTATTGTAAAAGCTTGTAATGATATGAATCTTAAGTGTTGGGTTAACTGTGTTTGATTAATGTTGGTTTTGGAAACCATACTAGTTGAAGAAGAAAGTTGAAGATGAAATCCAGTTTTGTATACACCGTTCTACATCATTATACAATATTATATAACATTATACAAAATTATAATAAGGGTGTAATGTATAATATTGTATAATGGGTGTAAAAATACTGTTATACAACTAGGGGTGTCAATGGATATTCGAAAACCGACTAAATCGACCGAACCGTGCCGCATCGAATCGATTTTTAGGTTTCTTTTTAAAAAATCGTAGTTTTTTATATAAATCTATAACCGCACCGATAATTAGGGTATGTTTTTTATTTTATAAAAATAAACCAAAAAAAACCGAAGTGTACCGAATAAATTTTACATGTAGAAAATATATTTATTTAGTAAGTTTAAAAATAATAATGCATTAAATTTTCTTTGAGCCTTGGAATTATGAAAACTATTACAAGCCAACAAGTAATTAAACTCAAAATACTAATTCCTAAAACCTATTATGCTACTTCTACTTAAACTAAGTTATTGCAAGTATCTTTATTAGCAAGACACAAAGTATTCTAGCAATTATGAGTAACAAACTACAATGTATTGAATATGTTTCCTTTCATATAATTTAGATTTATCTTTTTGAATATTTAATCTTCTATAGACTTTATTCTTGAGTCCCAGCTTGGTATATCTTTCAACTCGTGTGATTAATATTTTCTTTGCCTTTGTTTGATTTCTTTTACGCTGTTGTAGAATAGTTGATGGATCTATACTCTAGCCATCTTTTCTTTTTTTAATTCATCACCCTTTAAACAGTAAAAATGTCTTGAGAGTTTTGCTAAGTCCTATTAAAGAACGTACGTTATTGCAATTCTACTTCTACTGGTGAATTTTACATGATATTAAAAAAATACCGAAAATTAACCGAACCGTACCGATACCGAAGAGAAACCGACATGATTGGGACGGTTTCGAAAAGTCTAATTTTGGTTATACATAATAGAATAACCGAAAAATTGGTATGGTACAAATTTTATAAAATAACCGACCGAACCGAACCATTGACACCCCTATATACAACATTGATCTTTCTATTGAAGTAAGTTTCTCTTTCACGGTAATAATTTTAGTTTTGTTGCATGCTTTTTATTTTTAGTTTTGCTGCAGTTCCCTTTTGCTTTTGTTTTGGTTACTTTTTATTTAGATTTTTCTTTTTGCTTTTACTTCTTATTCTCTATGTTTTCCATTAACACTGATTTTGCTTTTCTATGCCAGCGAAATACTGGTAGACATTATTCAATATTTCATATACAAGTTTATATAAATTTATACATCATTATACACGTACTGTACAGATGCAGTTAAAACTGAAAATGATTTTTTGTTTTGTATTTTTCTCACTTTTTCGAACAATTTATATATAAAGTTAATTGTTTCGTTGATTTCTCTGCTAAATCATGAACTTTCAAATTTTTCTTTCCTTGTTGAGTTTTCTGTCAAATCAGAAACTTTGAAGCAAATTCATCTATATAGAACTTCGAGAATAAGAGATTTTAGGTCTGTTTTTTGTATTTTTATAACTGGGATGGAAATGTATAAACTTGGGTTAGAAAGAGAATAAAAAATCATGAAAAATTTGCGCCAAAATAAAAAAGGCATGAAGGGTTTTTTCGAATCTGAGCCAACTAATACTGGCTACATATTTGTAAACTTAAATCTGGGTCATCCGGTCGCAATATTAACTTGTTGAGTGTATTATTATGTAATTCTCCCTACATTTTCAACACTCATCCCTTCAAAAAATGGAGAGATATATAATTTGTTGCTTCGTGTATTGATCTTTCTCCTAAGCAAAACACATCTTATTTGCTCCTATTATGACGCATATATGTATTCTTGGACTACTCTTTGTGGTCCAAACATATCAAAACTAGGTATGACTTAAGTAATATAATAGTATTTGTTGGATACTAATTGAGTCCATTACTCAAATGGTCACTCAATTATCCCAAAATATTTCCTAAAGTCACTTTTTTTTCGTTTGTAACAACTAAGTCACAAAACTATGCCTATTGCATTCAGAACGTCACTCAACTAGATTTTCCAAATTTTGGATTGCCAAATACCTATTTTACCCTCTAAATTATAAGCATTTATCTTCTTTTTATTTCTTTTAAACTTATTAATCTTATGATTTTTCCCTTTTTAATTTACATTATCGACTTACCTATAGAATAAATAAATATTATTTATAAATTAAAAAATAAAAAGTATTTAAGCATATATAATGGTGGAATTAAAAAAATAATGAGCATAGTAAAAAATTTAATTAGAATAATTTGTTAGTAATAATAATTTTAGTATTAACAACAAAAATTCAAAAATTTATTTACACAATTCAGAATGAAAGAAAATAAAGGTTGTAAATTATATATTCCATGCACGTAATATAAAAATAATTATTTAAATAAAGGTATTTTTATAATATACATTAAATATTCTTGAAAATAATGCTCAATTATATTTTATATATATATATATTCCATGCACGACTTAACATAGCATATTTTACCGTATACAGATAGTCACACTCCTTTCCGGTGATATAATAGGAAAGTTGGTAGAAACATAATAATATAATGAGCATAATTTTCAAGAATATTTAATGAATATTATAAAAATATATTTATTTAAATATTTATTTTTATATTACGTGCATGGAATATATATTTTACAATCTTTATTTTCTTTCATTCTGAATTGTGTAAATAAATTTTTGAATTTTTGTTGTTAATACTAAAAAGTTTTAAAAAAATAAAAAGAAGATAAATGTTCATAATTTAGAGGTAAAATAGGTATTTGACAATCCAAAATTTGTAAAATCCAATTAAGTGACCTTTTGAGTGCAATATGCATAGTTCAGTGAATCTGTTGTTACAAACGAAAGCAAAGTGATTTCAGGAGATAATTTGGGATAGATAAGTGACCATTTAAGTAATTGACTTATATTAATTTGGTTTTGGATCGCAGGTTGCCCATGACTGTGGGAAAAACTAATGGGATGAAGTGATCTGGCTTTGATAGTATAATCAATGTTCTTAAGGAATTTTAGCTTCCTACTTTGTTGCTGCAAAGATAATAATAGAATTCCTTCAGGATTTTACAAAACCATTAAAATTAGAGAACATAATATTTGTGATTTGTAGAAATAAGTAGAATAGAAAGAGATGAAAATCTGAATTTGTATTCGTTTTGGAGATGATACAGGTAATTGTAAGCACGTGATTTTTGCCCTATATGAGAATTACTCCTAAAAAAATCAAAAATAAAATAATTTTTCTTAGTGTGCAATTTTGTGATATTTTGTGTAACTATTTGTATGTTTGTCTTTGCATGTTTATTTGTTAAATTATTAAAAATACAAAAATATGTCGCATTTCGCATGTAGGATTTAATTATACAATTGTTAGTAA